TATTACTTTGAGGAGTGCTTGTGATGTCACCGTAAGCAGGGAGTCTACATGTAAGAGTCACATGTTTATGCATGTTCTATGGCTGGTCAACATGTCCTGTTTTTTTCTCTCTCCCTGTCACCCCCGTTTGCCACCAGGCTCTGGTGTTACAACGTATTCTGTACATCCTGGCACAGTCAAGTCTGAATTGACTCGACACTCATCTTTCATGACATGGATGTGGTGGCTTTTCTCCTCCTTTTTGAAGACCCCTCAGCAGGGGGCCCAGACCAGCCTGTACTGTGCATTAACAGAAGGCCTTGAGAATCTGAGTGGGAAACATTTCAGGTATGAACGTATGTTTTTAAAGATGAAATTTTATTGCCCAAAGGGCATGACCTGGATTTGTCTAATATACTGTACCTTTCTCAAAAAGAGCATGCCTAATAATAGCTTTTGTCCCTTGACGCCATGGTTTTTACCTTTCTTATTTGACCCATTCACATTTTCTATGGTAACTGCTAATGCAGTGCAGTGAATTGCTGGGTATGGCCCTTTTAGCCATGGTTTTTGTGACTCCCGCTGGATGACTGGGTGGGACTATGCAAATATGAGGTGTTTGTGGCCTACCAAGGGGATATGATAGCTTGGTAATAATGTAAATAAGGTGTGAGGGTAAGGCCATGCAAATAGGTGTATGAAACCCTAATACGGGGATTACTCAGTTTTGCCATCCTACTTGGCTTAAAACACGCCAACCCAGAAGTGGAAAGGGGAGGAAAATCACTACCATCAAGGACGTAGAGCCAAGAGTGCGGTGCATTCTTTGAACCAGAGACCCCCTTGCTAAACCTCCTCAATCCAGGAGACAGAGAATTGTAATACTTTGCTGAGATGGTGAGCAAGAAGCAATGGCAGAGGAAAGGTAACAGCAGAACCTGGAGACCTAGCAGGAGACAGTAAAGTGGGTTTCTGGACCCTTGGAGTGAGAATGCTATGTCTTCAGGCAGGAAGCTTATTGGAGGAGTGGGGTGCCTCTGGTCTCTCATCATTAGCAGAGCTTAAGAACTTTGTAACACTTGCTCATGCAGGGCAGAGGCCAAGTGGCCACAGGGCCAAGAGGTGCTAAGAGGTCAGTCTTGCCATCTTACTAGGTTTAAACTGAGCCAACCTAGAGGTGGAAATGGGGGGAGATCTTAACCACCATCAAGAAAGGAGAGCCAGGGGTGGAATGTGTCCCCTGCACCTGAGCCTATGCTGGACCTCCTCGATCCAGGAGATGCAGAGAGACAAAGCTGTAACATTTTGCAGAAATGGCTGAGACATGGCAGCAGAACCAAGAGAGTGGCAGACTTCCCGGCCTGTGGAACAAGAAAGCTGAGTGCCTTAGGGCAGGAGCCTTGCTGACAGAATGAGGTGCTTCTGTGGCACCAAGTGGCAAAGCTAAAAGAACTTTCTAATATTTGCCTGAGCAGGGCAGAGGCTGAGGCCAGAGAGGTGTGCCTATGGCATGGCTGAGAAGAAGCTGTCCTGATTGAAGAACTGTATCCTGATTTGTTTCTGATCTGAACTGTACCCTGTTACTTCTCTTACAAGCCCCATTTGTCTGTGAGTTCTCTGTTATCAAACCCAGCAGAAGGAGAGAATGCTGTGGGAAGGATGGTTGGGTGTCAGAACTGGTAAAAAGGTTGGAGGGTGGTAGTATGTCTGACCTCTGTCTCATAGGAATCAGCCTTGGGCTGTTGATATTCTTGATCTTCCTCCCCCCTCATGACATTAGAGGAGGTCAGACAATGATGTCCCTATGCCGTTTTTGCAAGGGGTTAGGATTTACAACACGTTTTTTGGGAACACAATTCAGTCTGTAACAGAGTGGTTAAATGAGAGGGGATTCTGGCTAACTTAAGTGTAAAGAGAATTTACTAGAATATTATGGGGTGGTCACAGATTCAATGGCAAGACTAAAGAGCTAGACTTAGAGCAGTTGAGTGGCCAGTCAGCTGGCTGGCACGCTTCTGGTGCAGTGAGTGAATCTCAACTATATTTTGGTTTTGTTGCTCACCATATACTTTATGGAGCACTGGTGGTGCAGTGCCTAAGGCATTTGGCTGCTAACCAGAAGGCTGGTAGTTCAAACCCACTAGCCACTCCTCAGAAGGAAGGTTGGGCAATCTACTTCCATAGTGATACCACCTCGGAAACCCAAGAAGGTGTTGCTTTGAGTCAGATACGACTCTAAGGCAGTGAGAGTGTTTTTTTTGTTTTTTTTTTTTTTTTTTAAATATACTTTATAGGAAGGAGCTTTGCCCCCCACCCCTTCATCCTACCTCCTTGCCTATCATTCCTCCATCCCTGATCCCTTGGCTAGAAGCACCTGACTAAAACTGTATCCAGGGTAAGAGGTAATTCCACACGAAAAATTAGGTTGCTGTTACCAAAAGAAGGTAGAGCGGATGTTTAACCAAAAAGTAACAGTTGTCTATTATGTAATAAACCTGGTTTGGTAGCCATTTAGGGTGGGTTATCTATAAGACATATCAGTAGAGATGTATAGTACATAGTTGGAAATGTGGCTCTGAAGTGCAAGAAAAGGAAATTCATATTAGTTTTTTGGCTCCATGTTGTACACTGGAGGGATTTTTTAACTATGTATTCACCTTCTCTGGAAATTTTAAGTAAAGAATAAATAACCCCTTTATCTTGGTTGGAGGAGTTCTGGTGGTGTAGTGGTGGCTACTAACCAAAAGGTCATTGGTTTGAGTCCACAAGCTGCTCCGCACAAGAAAGATAGGGCAAAATGCCTCCGTAAAGATTGACAGCCTTGGAAACCCAACGGGGTCACTATGAGTTGGAACAGACTCGAGGACAGTGAGATTGGCTTTTTGGCTTTTTATCTTGGTTGTTACTAAGTGGTTTAAAGAAAGTTAGCCTCAGATCCATGGTTTTAGTCATTATTGAATTGGCTTTTATCTTGCAATTTTTTTTTTTAATTGAGATGAAAGTAATATAAAAGAAGTCACTTTTAAATGAACAATCAAGTGGCATTTAGTACATTCACAATGTTGTAAGCCAACACCTCCATCAAGTTCCAAAACTTGATTTCATCACCTCAAAAGGAAACCCTGTACTGGTTAAGCAGTTGCTCCCCATTCCCCTCTCCCCCAGCTCCTGGCAAGTACCATCGGCTTCTTTTTCTGTGCATTTACCTGTCGTAGATATTTCATATAAATGGAATCATACACTGTGTGACCTTTTGTGTCTAGCTTCTTTCACTTAGTGAAATATTTTTAAGATTCATCCATGTTGTAGCATTCTTCTTTATGCTAAATAATACTCCATTCTGTGTACCGTAGTTTTATGCAGATGCACGCATTACACATTTTTTTATACTGCTCAGTACCCTGTGCGTTATCTTCATAAGTATGCTATACCTATAGTTTTTTGGGAGCTCTGGTAGCGTAGTGCCTAAGGCAGTTGACTGCTAACCTGAAGGCTGGCAGTTCAAACCCACCAGCAACTCCTCAGAAGGAAGATGGGGCAATCTACTTCTGTAGTGATACTGCCTCAGAAACCCAAGGAGGGGTTGCTATGAGTCGGGTGCGACTCAACGGCACATAACAACAACAACCTGTAGTTTTTAAAGGTTGCTGACTTAAATTTCATTTTTTTTTTTTCTGTCCAATGTATTTAAGCTAAATCTTCATCTTGGTGCCTGTTGACACAGAGCTTTGGTTCCCAGCATCAGACCCTCACCAGCTGACACTTGAATTTCTAAAGCAGCCCCTCTGCAGGCAGGATTCCTTCCCTGCTCTGCAAACCACTGTCTCCAATGCAGGAAGAAACCACTTTTTCTACCCTGGAAACAGCCTCACCAGGGCAGCAAGGCTGGCATGCCATAACCACCTGCATTCTGCCTGTCATTTGGCTGGCTGGCCACTGCTTGGGTCATTTGAATTTCCACCCATACGGACACCATGGAGCAGGCCTGAGAGCCACGGGCACAGAGAGATCATGCATCCCTCACTTGGGAGATGGGTTCATCTGGCTGCCTGGGACTCTGCAGGGCCAGGGAAGTGGATATCCACAACCATACTGTCCTGCTGCCTGGCTTCACATGGGCTGGCACCAGGGGACCTGGTACATGTGGGCAATGGCCCCTGCCTGCCATGAGACTAGCCCGTGTTCAGGCTGTGGCAGCCCTGCACACAGCCCTCCCCCAGCGCTCTGCCCATCTCCAGTGTAATATACCTGTGTGAAAATTAGCTACAAGGAACTATACCATTCTCAAGCCTCAGAGCAAATGTGCCATGTCAGTTTATTTTGATTACTGGAGTACTGCCAAACTCAATCCATGACTTCTTGACCATGGCTTATACCATCATTATACAAATATGATCAAAAGTAACATTTTCAGACTATTGAATGAGGGTGAAATTCATTTCCAAAAATGCCACAGGACATGTAATGTATATGCATGGATATGATGTGCCAGAACTTTTTTACATAATTTTGTCATTTCCTCTCATTATATGTGCATGCATGTTACTTATGTGCGTGTGCTATTTACAAAAAATATGGTATATATCACAGTTTGCTTATCTGTTCATATATTGGTGGATGTTTAGATTGTTTCCACTTTTTGGCTATTATGAATAATGCTGCTGTGAACATTTGTATTGTTGTTGTTGTGTGCCATTGAGTCGTCTCTGACTCATAGCAACCTTATGTGCAAAAGAACACAACACTGCCTAGTCCTATGCCAGCCTCATGATCCCTACTATACCTGAGCCCATTGCTGCATCCACCATGTCAATCCATCTTGTTGAGGGTCTTCCCTCCTTCACTGATCTTCCACATTACCAAGCATGACATCCTTCTCCAGAGAATGGTCCCTTCTGACAACATGGCCAAAGCAGGTGTGATGAAGTCCGGCCATTCTTGCTTCCAAAGAACATTCCAGCTGCACTTCTTCCAGGGCAGTCTTGTTAGTTCTTTTAGTAGTCTATGGTATTTTCAGCATTCTTCACTAACACCACAACTTAAAAACATCAATTCTTCTTTGATCTTCCTTATTCATCATCCAGTTCTCACATGCATATGAGGCGATCGAAAATACCATGGCTTGGTTTAGGTGCATCTCAGTCTTCAAAGGGAGATTTTTGCTCTTCAGCACTTGCAAGAGGTCTTTTGCAACAGATCTGGCCTATGCAATATGTCCTTTGATGTCTTGAATGCTGCTTCCATTGGTGTTGACTGTAGAACCAAGTAATAGGAAGTCTTTGCTTCAGTCTTTTCTCCATCTATCGTGATGCTGCTTATTGGTCCAGTTGTGAGGATTTTTGTTTTCTTTATATTGAGATGTAATCCATACGGCAGACTGTAGTCTTTAATCTTCATCAGTGAGTGCTCCAGAAGTTGTGTAGATGTAAGTTTTCATTTCTCTTGGGTATATGCCTAGAAGTGAAATTGCTGGGTCACATGTAACTACATTTAATAATTGAAGAACTGCTGGACTTTTTCTAAAGGGGTTGCACCATTTTATATTCCAACTAGCAGTATATGAGGATTCCCATTTCTCCACATCCTTGCAAACACTTGCTATTATTTGTCTTTCTGATTATAGCCATCCTAGTAGGTGTGACCACCACTCATCGTCTGTCAGTGTGTCATACTGTGGTGGCTTGTGTGTTGCTGTGAGGCTGGAGGCTATGCCACTGGTATATCAAATACCAGCAGGATTATTTCAGGAGGTGGCACATAATCAAGAACCAATGGTATTTTTTTTTTTTTAATTGGGATTTGGTTGAGAATTTACAGAGCAAATTCACTTTCCATACAGCAGTTCACACACACGTTGTCTTATGACATTGACTACAATTTACCCCAATGCGACAACTCCCCTCCCACTTCCTCCCGATACTTACCTCTTCCCTATGTCCATCCCTCCATGCACTCCTGCCCCCTGAACTGTCTCCCTATGCATAGCCCTTCTTTCTCCCATGATTGTTTTCTCCAAGGAGTGTATCTATCTCAGGTACATGTTCAACTCTTATGCCTATCTTTTGTTTGGCTGGAAGCCACAGGTGTGGGTTTAGTTCCAGACCTGAAGGGCAGCTAGGGAACATAGTCTCATTGGTTCCACCAGGCTCGATCAGACCAGCAAACCTGGTCTTTTTTTTTTTTTCCAAATGATTTTGAGTTTTGTTCCACATTGTTCTCCCTCTCTATCCAGGATCTCCTACATAGATCCCCCTCCGAGTGGTTGACAGTGGTAGCTGGGCACCATCTAGCTCTTCTGGTCTCATAGTCGTATAGGCTGAGGATCGCATGCTGTACCAGTTGCTAGGACTGATTGTTTCCATGAGTCTTTGGTTTTCTTCATTATTCTTTGCTCTGGACGAGGAAAGACCCATCGTTGCATCTAGATGGCTGCTTGCAAGCTTTTAAGATCCCAGTTGCTACTCACCAAAGTAGGAGGTGGAACAGTATTTTGTGCAGTATGTTATGCCAATTGAGCTTGATGTCCCCTGAGACTATGGTCCTGAGCCCACTGGTTCAACTACTCACTCTGGGTAGCTGGCTGTGACCAAGAAGTGACTACATCCTTGTCCCTTGTCAGCTCTACTATACCCCTGGGAATTCTTACAGAACATACAAATACACCTGAAGACAATACACTGTCTGCCAATCCTATACATGGCCTTGGGTACACTCCCTGCTGCATAGACATATCTAATAGTTCAGCCTGTCCACCCATCTATCCACCCATATACCTATGTTTTCCTTTACTGACAACGCAGTACTGTATGTGCAAAAGGGGTCATCTTTGTTTTCTGCACCTCCCATGTACCTCTCTCTGTCTTCTTCTTCCTTAGTGCCACCATGTTGATCACTCACATTTGGTACATTGCTCTTCTCTTCACTCAAATCAATACTTATCTCCACCTATCTAACAGTGTTCCCTACCCTACCCTCCCACCCCTGGTAACCAACAAAGAAAATTTCCTTCCATATATAATCCAGTCCTTGACTTTTACAATAAAGGAACCAATGGTATTAATGAAAGAAATCAAAGCTGCATAGAAGGAATTGGCAAAAAATGAGGCTCTAGGAATTGACAGAATACCTATGGAGATGTTTCAATAAATGGATGCTGTGCTGGAGGTGCTTACTCGTCTATGCCAGGTAATTTGGAAGACAGCCACCTGGCCAACTGACTGGAAGAAATCCATATTTATACCCATTCCAAAGAAAGGGGATCCAACAGGAAATGGAAATTGTTGAACAGTATCATTAATATCACACACAAGTAAAATTTTGCTGAAGATAATTCAAAAAACAATTGCAGCAATATACTGACAGGGAACTTTCAGAAATGCAAAGTGGATTCAGGAGAGGATGTGGAACGACAAATATCATTACTGATGTCAGGTGGATCTTGGCTGAAAGCAAAGAATACCAGAAAGATGTTTACTTGTGTTTTATTGACTATGCAAAAGGGTTCAACTGTGTAGATCATAACAAATTATGGATAACATTAAAAAGAACGAGAATTACGGAACACTTAATTGTGCTCATGAGGAACCTGTACTTAGACCAGGAGGCTGTCGTTCAAACAGAACAAGGATATACTGCATTGATTAAATCAGGAAGGGTGTGTGTTGAGGTTGTATACTTTCACCATGCTTAATTTGTATGCTGAGGAAATCATCTGGGAAGCTGAATTATATGAAAATGAACATAGCATCAGGATTGGAGGAAGACTCATTAACAATCTGTGATATGCAGACAACACAGCCTTGCTTACTTAAAGTGAAGATGACTTGAAGCACTTAACTGCTCAAGATTAAAGACTACAGTCTGCAGTATGGATTACACTTCAACATGAGAAAATGAAAGTCCTCACAACTGGACCAATAAGTAGCATTACGATAAATGGAGAAAAGAGTGAAGTTGTCAAAGATTTCATATTACTTAGATCCACAGTCAACACCCATGGAAGCAGCAGTCAAGAAAATCAGACGTTGTATACCACTGGGAAAATCGGTTGCAAAAGACCTCTTTAAAGTGTTGAAGAGCAAAGATACCACTTTGAAGACTAAGGTGTGCCTAACCCAAGCCAAGGTATTTTCAATCGCCTCATATGCATGTGACTTGAGGCACTTACTGATGAAGGTTGAAGAATACAGTCTGCAGTATGGATTACATCTCAATATAAAGAAAACAAAAATCCTCACTACTGGACCAATGAGGAGCATCACAATAAATGGAGAGAAGATTGAGGTTGTCAAAGAATTCACGTTGCTTGGTTCTACAATTAATGCCAGTGGAAGCAGCAGTCAGGACATTAGACGATGTGTAGAATTGGGAAGGTCAACTGCGAAGGAACTGCTTCAAGTGCTGAGGAGCAAGGATGTTTCCTTGAAGACTTAAGGTGCACCTGACACAAGCCATGATATTTCCAGTCACCTCGTATGCATGTGAGAGCTGGACAATGAATAAGGAAGACCAAAAAAGAGTTGATGCTTTTGAGTTGTGGTGCTGGCGAAGAATGCTAAAGTACCATGACTGCTAAAAGGACTAACATATGTCCTGGAGGAAGTGCACCCAAAATGCTCCTTGGAAGCAAGAATGGCCAGACTTCGTCTCACCTATTTTGGTCATGTTTTCAGAAGGGACCATTCCCTGGAGAAGAATGTCATGCTTGGTAGGGTGGAGGGTCGACGAAAGAGGGGGAGGCCTTCAACGAGATGGATTGACACAGTGGCTACGATGATGGGCTCAAGTGTAGCAGGGATCATGGAGCTGGCACGGGATCGGGCAGTGTTTCCTTCTGCTGTGCATGGGGTCGCTATGAGTTGGAAATTACTTGACGGCACCTAACAACAACAACAACATGTGCATGTGAAAGCTGGACAGTGAATAAGGAAGACTGAAGAAGGGTTGATGACTTTGCACTGTGGTGTTGGCAAAGACTACTGAAAGTACCATGGACTGCCAGGAGAACTAACAAATCTGTCCTGGTTGAAGTACAGCCAGAATGCTCCTTGGAAGCGAGAACAGCCAGACTTTGTCTCACCTGCTTTGGTCATGTTGTCAGAAGAGACCATTCCCTGGAGAAGGATCTCATGGTTGTTAAAGTGGAGGGTCAGTGACAAAGGAAAGACCTTCAATGAAATGCATTGACACAGTGGCAACAATAAGCTCAAGTATAGCAAGGATTGTGAGGATGGTGCAGGACTGAGCAGCATTGCATTCTGTTGTACATAGGGTTGGTATGAGTTGGAGCTGACTCGACGGCACCTAACAACAACAGTAAAGGATCTCTGGTGGTGGTGCTGTAGTTAAAGCATTGGGCTGCTAACCTAAAGGTTGCCAGTTCAAACCCACCAGCTGCTCCACAGGACAGCGTGAAGCAGTCTGCTTCTGTAAATATTTACAGCCTTGGAAACCCTATGGAGCAGTTCTACCGTATCCTGTAAGGTTGGAATCAACTCCATGGCAATGGGTTTGTTTTGTTGGGTTAGTAGGTGTGAAGTGGTATCCACTGTGGTTTTGATTATCATGTTTTTATTATTGAAAATAAAAACTCAGAATTAAGTTTAATTTTTATCAAAAGAAAACACTTTTCATTAGTTATACAATCATTTCTCATTCTAAAAGTAAGTAGTGTAAGTAGACTCCAACCTTAACCTTGTGTTTTAAACCCTTCTCTTTCTCTTCCAGTGACTGCCAACTGGCATGGGTTTCTGCCCAGGCCCGAAATGAGGTGATAGCACGGCGGCTGTGGGACGTCAGCTGTGACCTGCTGGGCATCCCATTGGACTGACAGGTGGTGGCAGCCAGACCTAAGAGCAGACTATTCAATACTCCCTGTCAAAGTGACTCTTCTTCCAGGGGGTCTCAAGGGAACAAAACCTTCCAGCCTTACCTGCTTGATGTGAAACTGCCAGATTCATCTGAATGGTTTTCATTTGTCTGGTTCAATTTTGCTCCTGGTGCTGCCAGAGTTACTAGAGAGATCATAGGATAAGAAGACCATCATATGACCTGCACAGCTCATCTTTACCCTCTGAAGTCTACTGCCTAGAAGGATCTAAGATATGGCAGAGATGACTCATGGAAATGTGGACTAGTTTCTACTGTCTCCATTCACTGTGCAGTCCCTGCCAGCCCACCAACCTTCAAGAGAGCCACACTGCATGCTCAGCTAAACTACAGGAGTCACAATGGCTCAGCTTAAGAACGGGGCTTCATCTCTCACCTCTTTAAGAAAACTGCCATGGCACCAGTATCCATGGTCTTTCAGGAAACTCTTAACTGAATCTGGATTATGGCGTGGCCTGCCTGATCTCTGACAACCTGGAGCCACTCCTGTTAAGACACTTTCCCATGTGTCTTAACAGGACTACAGAACTGTTTTTCCTAAGAAGGTTTTGGGGTTTGTTTTTAATTTGAGAGGAGGCAGAATAAAGGTGAAGTTTACAATGTCATTTTCCTGCTGTTTCTCAGGCCAGCAAGGAAAGGATGAAGGGGGGGCAGTATGAAAAGGCAAGCCACCTAACTTATTGACCCATTACTAATTCCTCTTTGTGCCTTAGTTTCTCTTAGAAAACCAGAAGAAGGAGGGAAAGGATATTTGGTTATTGCTGTTGAAAATATCTTTGTGTGTGTGCTTGTGTATCTATGCAATTGGAAGTATTTTCACAAAACTCTAAACAGCCATAGAGGAGTAGTATTAAATGGACCTAGTGCAGGTAAGTGATCAGAGATAGAGCAAGCCAGTGTCATTCAGCCTCTCATGCAGATCAGTAGAACTGCAAAGCAAAATAAACCAAAACCAAACTCACTGCCATCGAGTCGATTTGACTCATAGCGACCCCTCCTTGGGTATCACTACGGAAGTAGATTGCCCAGTCTTCCTTCCGAGGTGTAGCTGGTGGGTTTGAACCACCAGCTTTCTGGTTAGCAATCAAATGCCTTAGGCACTGTGCCACCAGAGCTCCCCAAAGCAAAATAGACCCTACATATGTCAGTTACTACCTACCAAGTAGCACATGGGTAGCATGCAAGAAATCCTTGGAGATAATGTGCACAATGAAGGGATTAATTGAGTTTTTTTTTTTTTTTTTTTTAAAGCTATAAAAGAATTGAGAGTGGGCACCTAAGTTAACCAGACTAATAAAGTACTGTCTTAACTAGTACCAGTCAACCAAGGGGGCAGGAAGTAAACCCCAAAACAAAAACAAAAAACCCCAGTGCCCATACAGAAATGTCTTAACTGGTATTGGTAATTACATTCAATTTTAGGGCATTTCCTTACATATATTCACAAGGAGAACTTTTGTCTAAAGAAAAAAGGAAGTCAGGAATTGGTATGTTCCCATCACTTGTTTGGAGTACAATATTCTAACATTTGTGGTTTTCTTGGGCTGACAATTTATATGTTTAACTTCAGTGGGGAAGACAGTTATAGGGCCACCATTTTCACTTATCTGTAAATTAATAATCTTTGTTTGAAATTAGTTTTGACCATTGAACTACATAATTAGAAGAGGTCATATTATGGAAAAGCTGCAAAACTTTTGATGATATAGTGCAGTAGTATAACAATTACTAATTTATTAATTTATATTGAACTGTCAGTGGCAAACAAAAATTCTTTTCAACTCAGAATTAAGTTTAATTTTAATCAAAAGAAAACACTTTTCATTATTACATAATCATTTCTCATTCTAAAGGATAATTGTTTCAGCTGAACTACAGTACAATCTGAATTGGCCATTATTTTGTGTTTTGTGATAATCTGATTATTCACTCATCAAATTCGTACTTACCTTTTTTAACGGTGTTCAGAAAACACCTTTCCGTAGGTTTCTTTATTGTCACGGGATGTTACCTTCTTTTTGTACCTGCCTATTTCTGTAGCACAGTATTACAACATTATGAGACTTTAATTACAGTACAGTGTGCCACTAACAACCTCAGACTTTGTCATTTATGTCCAGTGCGTATCAGGAGCTCAACAAAGGTTTGTTGAATCAATAGCCAGTGAACTCAATCTAATAAAAGTAACTGTCTAAAATATACAAATCACCAAATCATTTACCCCCTAAGCATTCATACACTTTTCAGTATTCCTGGGCAGTGTAAATACTTCATAATGCTCTTCAGGCAAACCATGAATTCGGTGAAAATAGGTATTTCCTACCACGGAACCATTTATACCATAAAGTACTTAGTTACACCCACGGAGTGCAGGCAAATACATTAACACTATTACACTTACTGGCAGATGAGACCTGACGAAGCCGGGTCCAATTTCCCCACCAGATTACAAAGTACTAAAGGTAGAGAGTGGGAGCTCTGGCACCATAGTGGCTAAGACACTTGCCTGCTAACCAGACAACTGGCGGTTCAAACCCACCAGCCACTCCTCGGAAGGAAGGTTGGGCAATCCTACTTCCGTAGTGATACTGCCTCGGAAACCCAAGGAGGGGTCGCTATGAGTCAGGTATGACTCGTCGGCACATAACAAAAACAACAAAGGTAGAGAGTAAATTTGTTTTATTAACCAACATAGCCCCCAGATAATACACGATGCCTTCGCTTAACACTTGTGGAGGGAATGTACGTACTTGGTTGGCAGCCTGCTTCAGGAAGCAAGCCTGTCAGCTAAAGCCTGAGTGCGGACTTGGGGGTCACACTGCCCGGGTTCCATTGCTTAAAGTGTACGACCCTGGTCACTTGACCTCCCCAATAAAAATGCTTTACTGAACTAAGAGCAAAAAGGACCATGAGTTGGCTGTCTTTCCAGAGCTGAAAACGAAGATTCTAGTCAGGAGGTAAACCAAGGGCGGCAGGATAGCCAAGCACAGATAAAGTGCGATGACACTGAAAACATCTAGATAACCAAATCACTCCGAGTCAGGAGCTGCCCCTGAGGGAACCACCCACCCGCGACAGCGCGTGACGCCGAGTTGGAGCGTCTTCGACGCCGAACTATATGCCCCGGCATGCACCGCGGTGCCGCCCCCTTACCTGTCGGCGGAGGCCGAGAGGCAGGCGACCGCGCTGCCCGTTCTGCGGGTCTTCTCGGGACTTCCGCTGTGGCTCTCCCTGCGAACTCTGGGCTGGGTATTTCCGGAATTCTGGGCCTGCAGTTCGCCCTGGTGTAGTTCTGCTCCTCGAGCACCCGTCAGGGCTGCGCAGCTCGCCGGATTTTTCGTCAGGCTTTCACGCCCGGCGGTCCCAGGACTATGGGAAAGAGGGAGTGGGCGTTCCGGCTTCGGAGGACCCCGCCGCGAGCCCCGGAAGCGCCTCGTTCCGTGCGGCGGTAGTGCCGGGCGCCGTGATGGCTGTGGGGCTGGGAGGCTGAGGGCGGGAGTAAGAGCGGCCCTGCGCCCAGATTCTCGGTGGCCGCTGCTCAAACTCCGCTTGCACCATGGCCACTTCCGCCGCCTCCTCAGAGCATTTCGAGAAGCTGCACGAGATCTTCCGCGGTCTCCATGAGGACTTACGAGGGGTGCCTGAGCGGCTGCTGGGGACGGCGGGGACCGGTGAGGCGGGGGCGGGCCAGGCCTGTGGGGAATTCGGTCCTGCGCACTGTTGGAGGAAGAGCCTCCAGCCTTCTCCCAGACCCGGGCCCTGTTCTCTCTGCTGCTCATATGGGACACGCGCCTCGTTAAGGGCTGAGTCCCTGCGCCCTGGATAGTTCTCTGCGGTCACTTCGAGTGGACTGGGGACTCAGGGATGGGCTTCAGGGTGTTGTCTACCTGGGGTCCTCCTTCTTGATTTTCTCGTGGCCCTCTCACATTTTCTCTTCTTCTTTTTGCACTGTGGCTGTTGAGATCATAGCAGTTCTTAACTCTGCGGTCCTTTATTTCAGTAGAACTGATTTATTTCGTAGCTCTGTGTATTTTATTTCATGCATTTTAAAACATTATTCCCAAGAGAGGTCCATAGTTCTTATCAGATTGGCAAATAATACGTGGGTTAAAAGGGATAAGAACCCAAGGGTAAATACCAGTGTTTGTTTTGTTGTTGGTTGTTGTTTTGTTTGGTTTTTTTTTTTTTTTTTTTTTTGACGGAGGTGGCGGGTGGAATTTAAAGCAACAATCATCGATTTCTGACTGCGACAGACCGTTTCCTGGCCTTGATTTCAAGATTCAGACTGCTGCAGGCTCTACCTGGAGGACCTAAATTTTTCCAGTTAAATCCATAGGACGGCTTGGCTTGCCAGAATTCCTTGCCTCTAAATACAGACCGGGCAATGTTTTGACGTAGGGTCCCTGTGAGTCGGAGCCAACTCCAAGACACCTAACAACAGATACAAATAGATCTCGCTGCCTGTGTATATAGACTATGTATATTGTTTTTACTTAAGATCAGAGCTTGGGTGTTTGTCCTATCAGTTTCCTAACATCATACAATTTGAGTGACTCTAATGAGAATGAGAAACGGGCTCTGGAGGGGCTCTGGTGGTGCTAACCAAAAGGTTTAAACCCACTGGCCGCTGAAAGATGAGGCAGCCTGCTCCCATAAAGCATTACAGCCTTGGAAACCTTATGGGGCAGTTCTCCTCTGCCTTACAGGGTTGCTGTGAGTTGGAATCTACTTGACAGGAGTGGGTTTGGTTTGATTTTTAATGAGAGTGAGTGAGGCATTAATGGTTTAGTGGTGTAATTCTCACCTTCTGTGTGGCAGACTTAAGGTGCTCAGGTGGTATAGTGCTTAAGCATCAAACTGCTAACCAAAAACAGTCAGAAGTTTGAACTTAACTAGCCACTCCATGGAAATTAATGTCAGTCACTGTTCTGAACCCTGAGAACCCCTAGGAGTTCTTGCCTTAAAGAAAAACAAATTTATAACAAAGTGAGTGATGAATCCTAAAATAAAATTCTCTCAAGCCATAAAAAAAGGTGACTTGGAGGTGGGGGTGTGGTAATTATGTGTCAGCTTATCTGGGCCTGCTTTTCAGTGGCTGGGCAGCTAGCTGGATATAGTTATCTCCCTTGGTGAGATTGGTAAACCACTCCATGATGGAATCTACCTGGAGCAGCTGAGTAGCTGCCTTAGCAATGTGGTCTGCTTTCAGTATGTAAGAAGCAGCTTTGAGGAAGGTCTGCAGCTTTTGGCTTGCTTGAATCTTGCACGTAGCCGGGTCGTCATTCAGCAGCCTGCCATGTCTGCTGATCTTGGGACTGTTAATGGACTTGAATTAGTGACCTGCCATACTGTGTGGTAATACCGGGACTGTTCCATTTTATTTGTCAACCTTGGGCTTGTTAGTCTCAGCAGCCAGTAGCTGCCTGAGTGAAGAGACATATCTAGTTCGAGTGGGCCTGGAGCAAAAGGCAGAGCTGAAGCCCAAGGTCAAGGGGCTTTCACCCAACTCCTAGAGCTTGGCACTTTGAAGTTGGACTTCTAGCCTCCAGAACTGTAAAAGAATAAACTCCTGTTTGTTAAAGTCACCCATTTGTGGTATTTTCTGTTAGAGCATCACAAAGTAACCAAAACAAGGGGAAGGATGGGAGCTTCCCAGAAAGGAGAGTTTCAATCTTAGTCTAAGGGTTGAATGGCACTTAGTTACAGAAAAGGCAAGAGGCAAAAAGAAATTTAAAAATTGGCTACTTCCAACTATGATTGTGCTTAGGATCTTTGTGGGGGAATAGTGGTAGTTGGAAAACGTGAGGCACAGCCAGATCTTGAAGGGACCTAAGTGTCAACATTTAGACATTTGGACTTGATATAAAAAATCAGTAAGGATTTGAAGCAGGGGATTAATATGCTCAGATTTTATTTTAGAAGATGAGTGCTGGAGGCTGGGTGGAGGGTGAGAGAGAGGCACAAGAGCCTTCGTGCAGGGGTCTTGCTCTTAGGAGCATGGAATGTAGAAGGGTCTACATCTGAGAGTTCAGATGCAGACATTAATCAGACTGATGAGATGTGGGGAGGGAGGGAGAAAGATCCAAGGATGTCTGTTTCCTCACTTAGTCAGGTGGATAATGAACTTCTTAAGAAATTGAGGAAGAGAAGCAGACTTGCTTGAGTTGTGCATAAGAATATCAAGGGAGTCTATAGAAAGAGATAATGTATGTCCATTCTAGCCTAGCAAGAAGCTTCCTTTTCTGCCATTAAAAGTAACATTTATGAAGAACATTGTATGAGTTGAGAGGGGGTTTCGTGTGATATTTAACTGTAAGAAGTCTAGAGCCAGACTACCCAAACTCACATGCACCTCTTCGTAGCTGCATGACCTTGGACCAAGTTACTTTATTGGAATTGTAGTTAACTCCTGCAAAATGGGGATACATTATAGTATCTAGTTCATAGGATTCTTGTGAGTATTAAGTTATTTAGTGTGTGTAAAGCCCATAGAATACTGACAGTAGTAAGAGTTGTTAGCCTTTGTTGTTATGTGGGAAATTGGATCTTTCATTTAAATGAAAAATAATACTAGCTCTGTATACAAGTACTTTTGTCTTGCTCTGCTTTACTATTTTTTTCCAGAGCATTTATCTTCTAACGTACTAGATACTTTACATATTTATTATGTTTATAGTATATTTTTTGCCTTCCTTTCACTTAACAGTGGTTGTCAAGGTGTGCTTCCTGAATCAGCAGTATCAGCATCACCTGAAAACTTGGTTGTTGTTGTTGTTGTTATTTGCCGTCGAGTCGGCCCCGACTCATAGCGACCCCTCCTTGGGTTTCCGAGGCAGTATCACTACGGAAGTAGGATTGCCCAACCTTCCTTCTGAGGAGTGGCTGGTGGGGAGCTCTGGTAGCATAGTGGCTAAGATACTTGCCTGCTAACCAGACGGCTGGCGGTTCAAACCCACCAGCCACTCCTCGGAAGGAAGGTTGGGCAACCCTACTTCCGTAGTGATACTGCCTCAGAAACCCAAGGAGGGGTCGCTATGAGTCAGGTTTGACTCGCCGGCACATAACAACAACGAAAACTTGGTAGAAATGCAAATTCTTGGGCCCCACCTCAGACCCACGGAGTGGGAAACTGTTAACCAGCCCTCCAAGGAATTTCTGATCCACGCTCAACTTTGAAAGCCACTAAGCTAGAACATGACTCTATATTTTGTCAGTTTTGTTTTTTATGTAGCCTAATCACCTAGAACAGTGCCTACCACATATTAGGAATTCTGTGAGTATTTGAAGGGTTGAATGTATAAATACTGTGAATTGGGAAGAAAGTATTAGTAATATATAATTGGGTGTTGAAACAGTATGGTTTTATTTCTACACTGCTGTGTTTTCCACGTTTTTATTATTTCAAAATGAACATATATACATATTAAAACAACAAAAAAGATCTTTACTTTCCCATGTACATTCTTCATTCAGTTTCTGCCTTTGCGTGGCAGATACAGTATGTCCTGTTTTGGGATATTTGTGTAGCAGTGGCAGTCCATTTAGTATCCAGAAAAACCAAAGTCACTGCCATCGAGTTGTTTCCAACTCATAGCGACCCCCATTGGGTTTCCGAAACAGTAAATCTTTAGGGAAGTAAATTGCCCCATCTTCCTTCCAGAGTAGCTGGTGGGTGTGAACCACCAACCTTCTGGTTAGCAGTCAAGTGCCTTAGGCACTATACCACCAGAGCTCCTACCCATTTAGCAAGTATGGTAATTATTAATCCACTTAATATTACATTAAGTGCTTGTAGCCATAATTTCTAGCCTGGGTTTTGGGACTGAAGAGGTCCCAAAATACCTCAGAGGGCTGTAAAATTCTCAATACAATATGTTAAGCGTCTAGAGCTATGATTTCTAGTTTGGGTTTCATGGCACCTGAAGGTGTGTCTCCATGTGGTTTAATTAATTTCATAAAATATTGAAGTTTTTCATTTTTACTCACTTACATTTCAGTAATTTTACAACACTAATTAAGACATGTGGAGACACAGAAAAAGTAAGCACTTGCAGCAGATTGGTAAACACCAGTTACAGTTGACCCTTGAACAACACGAATTTGAACTGCTTAGGTCCACTTACGCATGGATTATTTCAAGATAATGGATCTTGGAGAACTTCAGTACTAGTAGACATCACACCAGAGGGATTAACAGAAGATGACTTGATGGAGATGAGTGCTTCCGAAGCAGTGCCAGACAATGAGGAAGAAGATAGAAGCAGTGCCAGGAAACAAATTGATGTTAGACAGTCCGGCAGAAGGGTTCTGATTATGCAAGGC